TAATCAAAATGTAAAAAGAGCAATTAAAATAGATGTACATCCATTTAACAATTTTCAAGAACCTTTTCAGCATCATTCTTGTTTTTTAGAATCTGCTATACCTGTTTTGAACTACTACAACTACTATAATAATCATACAAATCATTTGTGTGCCAGTTCATAATATGAATTTTTGCATAGATAATTATCCTTTATTAATAAAGAAATTTCTTTCCTCAATTACAAATCTTTTAGTAGCAATCTTCCTTTTCAATAAATTCCATAAATAACAATCTAAGCATAAAAGTAAATGTAATACAGGACAACTTGTTATTAAACTTCAAAGTTCAAATATAATATGTATAATGATCATAAATAATACGGGAAATTCTGGTATATATATCCGAATATCCTAACACATGTTGAGACATAGATCTCTGTTTAACATCACATAGACAGAATACAACAAACTAATACAAATCGTATCAGTTCAAAGTCGTAACAGATATTTCAGCATCTTATATGACATGTGAATCAATCAAGAAATATAATTGAATAATACAGAAAAGTAATAACACAAAGATATAATGACCCAACTCAGTGGACACACGCCTAATTTCCATATGTGTATTGTTGGAGACAGTGGAAGTAAAGGTAATAAAATTGAACTTGTGAGTAGTGTTTCTTATTAATGCAGTATTAAAAGATTCTATCTAGAAATTGTAGATACATGAATGGACTCTTAGATACTTTATGGAATCTAGGAATATGAAACATTACAAATTATCATTTAACACCCCCTCTTAATTTGTAATTTTCATGGTATCTTTGAATTGTTCAAGCTTCTCAAGTTATACTGCTTTGGTAAGAACATCAGTTGGCTGCTTTGTGGTTTTGATGTACTCCAAGTAGATTTCCTTCTTTTGAACCATATCACGAATGTAGTTGTGTCGCAACTTAATATGCTTAGATCTTCTATGAAAAACTGGATTTTTGGAAATCGAAATTGTTGATTGGTTATCAAAGAAAATAGGAGTTGAATCTTCTACTTTTTGCTGCAAGTCAATCAAGATTCTTCTCAACAAAACAGCTTCGCGCGTAGCTTCATTCACTGAGATATATTCAGCCTCTGCTGAAGACAGTGCAACTGAATTTTGCTTTTTAGAACTCCATGAAATAGCTTGGGATCCTAGACAAAAAACGTAGGCTGGAGTACTTTTTCTGTTATCAAAACTACCAGCCCAATCACTATCAGTATAGCCAACTAATTTGTTATTTTCTTCCTTCATATGCTTTATTCCAAGCTTCTTGGTTCCTTGGAGATAGCGCGGAATCCTCTTTGTTGTTGCAAAATAAAGCTTACCCAGTTCATTCATAAATCTAGAAACCAAACTAATTGAACGTACTATGTCTGGCCTTGTATTTGTGAGATAAATCAAGGAAGCAACAAGGCTTCTATAGACTTTTGGATTTTCTTTTTCTGCACCGTCATTCAGCTGCAATTTTTCATTCATTGCCATAAGGGTTGAGACTCGTTTGCAACTCTCCAATCTGAATTTTTAAGCAAATCATGAATGTATTTTTCTTGTGTGATAAAAATCTCACCTTTTGTTTGCTTCACTTGAATTCCAGGAAAATACTTCATCAATCCGAGATCTTTCATTTCATATTCTTTCATCATTGCGTCCTTGAGCGATTGCACCATATTAAGATTTGTTCCTGCATAAATTAAATCATCAACATAGAGACAAACCATCAAGAAATTAACACTATTTATTTTCACATATAGAGATGGTTCTGATGGACTTTTCACAAATCCATTTTTCAAGAAGTAAGTATCAATTTTGCTGTTCTACGCCCTCAACGCTTGTTTTATACCGTAAAGAGCATTGTGTAGCTTGTAGACTTTTCCTTATTTTCCTTTTGCTTCAAAACCTTGAGGCTGCTTCTGTAACACCCCAATTCTACCCAGCAGATAATAATAAAATCAGAGTTCAACATAAATAGGATGCTAAATTTACGAATTAAAATTAAACTTCATTTAATCGCATATAAAACAGATACATAACACTTAATTTGGATGAACCAATAACAACCTGATTTATTCTTTAAAATCGAACAACATTTTATTGATAAGAAGCGGAATATACATACTCAAATTCAATTCACTTAACATCTCTTATTCAACTAAAACAACTTCAAGACAACAATTATTTCATGTAATCAACCAAAAAATTCAGCAACTGAAATAAATATCAATAACTAAACATCAAGCGTTCATCCTCCCGAGTGCTATGTATCAGAGCGATGACACCGACTCAAACTAACGAAGGTAACAACTATCCTTCTTGATTACCTGCACGTTACCAACAGAGGGTAACATTCAAACAGAAGAGGTGAGATATCTAACGATATAATAGAATGTATGATAATTAATATATTAGTATCAGATCAAATAAAATCACCACATCACAACTTATACACAACAACTATTACAATAAAGCATCGATACGAAATAACAACTGTTTCATCATTACAACAACTCAATTGTACAACACGAAATGCAACGCGTACAATGCACATGCATGTGGTACTAATGGAGCAGAACTCCCAACTTAAAAACAGATCAGAACTTCCAACTTAAAAACAGAGAAGAACTCCCAACTTAATAATTGCCAATTAATAGAGGCGTCAACAAGGCATAAGCCTTCTTTGCAGTTTGCCAATCCAGGTCACCACAGAGTATGCAAATGTATATGACTCAATGAATGCACTATCACATACTCACAACAATCATCATCCATCGCAAGGCATAAGCCCACATCACCATTATTACCAGTAAATAGCGGTAATTCATCATCATTTAAAATTCCTTGCAACTTCACATTACCAACAAGAATTCACATCAACTTAACAACAATTCAACCCTGGCCATATTCCTACAACTTAGCAATAATTCAACATTGACCTAAGGCCTACAAATTGATATTTCAACAACGACAATTCAGCGTAACATTGGCATAAGCCTACAACTTAGTATGTCACTACAATAATAACATATCAACAATAGTAATTTGACAACAACATCAACAAGAAAACAACATTAGCCATAAGCAGTGGCGGAGCCAGAAATATTATAAAGCCTGGGCGAAAAATTAAAGATCGCAAATTCACATTGTATATAATATATAAATACTCATCAATCAAAATAACAGATAGTCGCCATTTTGTCCACAAAAATATAGTTTAAAATAAAAGAGACAAATATAACCTTACAATAGCGGGTTAAATAAAATTACGAGGCAAATGTCCTTTCCGAGACTTTTTTGCGGTGAATGTTCGAATAATATCAATATCATTAAGTGATTTGAATATCTCCCGCTCAGTGTAACATACCATCAAGTCATTGAACCACACATCATTGATCTTATTGCGCAATTTAGACTTGATAATCTTCATTGCTGAAAAAGCTCTTTCAACGGATGCTGTCGACACCGGCAATATCAAAGCTAACTCAATAAGTTTATAAATCAATGGAAATACTAAATGTTTCTCAGTTTGAACCATCTTCATAGCCAAACTTTGAACATCTTCACAAGTGGAAAATGAAGCATTTCTTCTCACTTGAAGAACATAAGTCTCAAGTTGATCCCTTATTGTTCCTCGGTCATCATCAGAAAAGTCTACACGATAAATATCCGCAAGACGAGCAAGCTTATCAACATTAAACTTGGAGAAAGAGTTTTTGGGATCAAGACATGAAAAACAATTAAGGATAATGTTACTTTCTTCACTAAAGCGATGATCCATCTCCACACATATTTTGTCAATAGCAACATAAAAAATCTCTGCACGGTAATGATGAAGATTAGTGACAGTCCTCCCTTCTACCCTTGAACGACCCCGAACCGGTATTTCATCATCCATATTTGGAACTGGAATACCTTTAGCAACACAAAAATCTTGGACATCAGAAAATAAATTATCCCAACCACTCTCTCTCGTTGTGGCCAATCGAGCTTTGACATCATCAATTAATTCCATGGCAATCACAATATTAAGATCTTTTCTTTGCAAGACATTTGAAAGCTCGTTTGTGATACCAAACAACTTTAACATTAATTTCAAAATGAAAGCAAATTTAAAGCTCTCCATTTTTTCTATCAAACCCGCTGCTTGAGATGGTCCACGTCCATCTTCATCAACCATACTAAGCACCTTTAACACAGAGGGCCACATTTGATCCAAACGAAGCAATGTAGTATGATGTGAACCCCATGTAGTATCCCCAGGTCTTGTGAGATTAGATGATTGGTGCAAGCCCTTTCCTCTAGATATCTCACCACTCTCAAGTTTATTTAAAATATATTGGTGTTGTGCCTCTATCAAAGCATCCCTCCTCTTACAAGATGCACTTGTTGTGGTCACAATCAAGGAGATATACTCAAAGAAATCATGAATAGATGAGCAACTACTAGTAACAGACACAACAACTAATTGCAAGCGGTGAGCATAACAATGAACATAGAAAGCATAAGGATTTTCATCTAGAATTTTTCTTTGCAAACCATTAAATTCACCTCTCATATTTGAAGCTCCATCATATCCTTGCCCTCGTATCCTTGAAATCGATAACGTGTACTTATCAAGAATACCATAAAGAGCATTCTTTAATGACTCAGATGTAGTATCTTTGACATGATGTAGAGAAATAAATCGTTCCACAACATTTCCTTTGTCATTCAAAAACCTAAAATAAATTCAACAAGTTTACTTGGCGGCATAAAAAATAATAGGTCATGAAAATTAGAAAATACAACTACTAACCTCAACATCACCGCCATTTGCTCTTTGACGGATATATCACGTGACTCGTCAATAAGCGTGTAGAATTGTCTATCACCAAGCTCTTCCATAATCACATTGGTAACTTCATGTGCACAACATGTTGCAAGCTCCTTTTGAATGTCACCGCAAATCATTGTGCAATTTTTTCCACCACGGTCAAAAGCGTCCCTCACTTATTCATTTTGAGATTTTACCCAATCTACCATCTCTCTAAAATTACCCTTATTTAGAGAAGTAGAGGATTCATCATGGCCACGAAAAGCCATGCCTTGTGCTATGAGATATCTTGAACAATCTAAAGAACAAGTCAAATGAATCTTATATAATTCTTCTGATTCCTTGGTTGCTTTAGCAAACTTACTTGTCACACTTTGTCTTTGATTATTATAATCATCATAGTGCTTGACACATGAGTTATGCAAACTATTATGACTACCAACGTGACCTTTCAAGCCTTGAGATGCATGCTTCCAATCTCTATATCCACTTTTAGTGAAGACTTCAAAACCAAAGTGCTCGGCCCTCCCGGGTTTCTTAAAGAGAAAACAATAAAAACAATAAGCTGCATCCTTTATCTCACTGTATTCTAACCATGTATAATTCTTATACCATGATTTACTAAATGATCTTTTAACACTCCCAAATGTAGTACGAGGAAAGCTTGGCAAATCTGGTTGCATTGGACCCTTCAATATATATGCCCTCCTCACTTGGTCTTGAATATCCGGAGCATACTCATTAATTTGTTTCTTATGAGCTGGATCTCGCACAATCTCATTTGGATTAAACTCATTAACCACATTAGATGGTGGTTCTAATTCGACTTCCGATTGCACAACATTCACATTCTCAATATTTTCTCTAGCAACCAAAAATTTCCTCATCTCTAAACAAAAGATAAAATAATTACAAAATTGTAGTTTCAAAATTTAAAAGAATAATAATCAAATAAAACAAATAAGAATTAACAATGTTCTTCAAATAAATAAAATAAAATTTAAAATAATAAAAATCAAACAACCTAAACTCTAATAAATAAATTAGTATTTGTAATTGTATATGGTTAATCAAACAACCTAAACTCTAATAAATAAATAAATTAGTACATGATTAATCAATCAACCTAAACTCTAATAAATAAATTAGAATCAAACATGAAATTAAACAAGGCAAATTATTATGTATCTATGTCTATCTAGTATATCAATTCAATTTTGTACTAATTTAGTGGCTTAAAAATACAAAGCATTTAAGCATACATGTGTCTATGTATCATGTATGTCTATCTAAAAGTACAACTGTACAAAAAGACAAGAATTATATATGTGTCTATCTAATACTATGCCAACATATTAGTAATCTAGATTATCTCTGTGACAAACATAACATACCAAATAGTATTTTATAAAACACATATAGTTTCTAGTATATTTATATTATATAGAAAGAAAGAGAACACACATTGCATCTACTATTTAATAACCAAATTTATATTACCTGCTATATAGCCTGTAGAAATAATATAGCCTATAGGAATGATGATAGATTGCACAAGGATTAAACAGATAGAAGAACACAGATTGAACAGGATGAAGAAAAGTGAGCAGCGGCAGGCAGTTTTTTTTCTCTGTAGGTTTTCCTAATTTTAGGTTTTTCCAATTCTAACTTTCACTATTTTTTCTTTTTCTTTTAATTTTATTTAATACTAAAAAAAAATTGGGCTGGATACTAAAAAAAAAATTGGGCCGTTGAGCCTGGGCATTTGCCCAAGCTGGCCGTATGCTGTATCCGCCTGTGGCCATAAGCCTAACAATTCAATACCACCTGCAATTCATATTTTTCAACAAAGTATATAATACACCTCATCAACCAAAATATACTACAAACGCTCCACGAATTTGTTCGGATAATTCGACTATTTTCGGTTAATTAATCTTTCGCTAAATTACCAACATTTCTACTTTGCACTACTCTTATTAAGTCTATACAGTTACTACTAGTATAGGTACTACCTGTTACTAATATCTCACTGCCAAACTAGTACCATTACTCTCTGTTATTAAAAATACTACTTGTTACCAACATACACTACATGTTATCCACTTAATAAATTACTATTAGTTACTACATTGATCTTCTTCCAATTTATTCTACTAATTACTTCTACCAGTAATTCTCTGCTAAATTATTGCATCTGTTATTAATATACTACTCTGCTAAATTAATTGAACCATCATCTGCTACTTAGCATCTTTGTGCAAATTTAATTTCTGGAACACCATTGTTATTAACTTTGCTGCTACTACTACTCTAGATACCAACTAAGTGTTAATCTAACAATTACCTCTGCTAGGTACCAACAAATCTGCTACTCGGTTTAAATTAATCTAATGGGATACTACTATAATTAATTAGGATAATTCTGCAACTTATTAAATCCATCTCTTCTAAATATTGATTTCAAAAATTAATCCTACTGATAACTCTGCTATATACTACTACCAAAAATGTCTCTGCTAATTCATACTAATACTACTACATAAAGGCTCCACTACCACAGCAAGAAACAAAACAAACAAAATAAAATTGAGACAACATGTGCCCCTCGGCACCATTGTCCTGTCGATCGGCATGCTCCCCCTTTAAACATTGTGCCGGTCGGCACCCATGTCATGCCCCTCGGCATGTATGCTTTCCAGCCTCCCAGTATGTTATTGATTACTAACGTATAATTTTCAGTTTCAGGCCAACTACATAGAATCACACACAAACGTAACAACTATATCAATATATAATAACTTCCAACAACAAATTCATCGATTGATTCACTGCAAATTCCTCGTAAAATGTGATTGTGGTAACACCAACTCATAACAATAACAATTATTCATACAATAATATTCCCACAATGATAATTTTATACAGACCAATCCCCGCATAATATTTATCATATACCCTTTTATAGAGTCAGAACCCCACTCTTACCTTGGATTGGAGATCGCTCTATTCTACCGATTAAAGTCTCTCGCCCTAGCTTCCAACCTTTGCCTCTTCTCTGTATCTTTGCAGCTTCTCACGTACCAAATTCTCCAAGACTTGTTTAATTAACCTAATTCCTTATAATTAGCTTAACCTTATAATTATTAATATTCTTATTGAGCCTAACTTTAACACCCTCACATTTACTACATATAACCAAATAATGAGCCCAACTAATAAACCTTATATTATAATATCTATATTAATATTATTGCTAATATTAATCAACCAATCAATTAAATATCAACCAAATAACAACTTAGCAACTTAAATAAACATTTCTCGACATTTCACAACTTCAACAATTTCAACAACATTTTCAATGATTAATCTGTAATTAATTTAATTAAATGCTTAATTAAATTAACGGGCGATACAACTTTACATAAACTTCTTCTTCTAATTCTCCATTAGAAAATTTGATTTAACATCAAGTTGAAAAACATACAATTCTAACGGAGCTTCCAATTCAAGGACTGTTCTAATAGTCTCCATGCATGCTACGGGAGTGAAAGTTTCATTAAAATCTACACCGGGTTGCTGTGAATACCCTTTCACCACTAACCATGCTTTATACTTTTGTACACTTTCATCTTCATTATACTTGGTCTCATAGACCCACTTCAAACCAATTGCGCCTTTTCAAGCTGGAAGTTCTACAAGCTACCAAGTACATGATTTTTTTCAATGCTACTCATTTCCTCATTCATGGTTTCCCTCCATACCACTTATTTTATTTCCTCTTCAAAACATTGTGGCTCATGTGCAAAAAATGAAAAATTACATGATTCATAAATTTCTTCCAAGGAACAAAACTTTCATCGTGGAGTTTCTGAATCAGAATCGTCCTCGTGATAATTACTCCTTGACGGACAAGAAACATCAAGAGGTGACTCCTTGAGTTCAATAGGCACCATAGGTGTTTTCACAACATCACTAGCTTCCTATTTCCATATGGCATTTTCATTAAAAATCACATCTCTTGAAATCACCAATTGACTAGTTGTTGGATTAATAAGACGATAACCTTTGGATTCATCACTATATCCAACAAAAATAAGCTTTTCATCAAAATTTTCTCTACTTTGAGCAGGAACAAGAGAATATGCAATACATCCAAATACTTTAAGTTGACTTACAACTGGTTTTCTTCCATGCCATACCTCAAAAGGAGTTTTATCTCGAACATCCTTTGTAGGGGATCGATTAAGGATGTAAATAGCATTACTAACAGCTTCAGCCCATAAATTATTTGGAAGCTCTTTAAATTTTAGCATACTTCTAGCCATTTCAACAATTGTTCTATTTTTTCTTTCTGCAACACCATTTTGTTATGGTGTGTGTCTAATTGTGAGCTGCCAATGAATGCCTTATTATTTACAGTAATTGAGAAATGACTTGTAGATAAATTATCCTCCTCTGTCAGTTCTGAGAGTCTTTAACTTGTAGCCAGTTTGATTTTCAACAAGGGTTTTCAAATGCAAGAACTTGGTAAAAGTTTTCGATTTCTGATCAAGAAAATAAATCCAGATCATTCTAGTGTAATCATCAAGAAAGATAAGAAAATACCTCTTGTTTCCAAGAGATGGAGTTTTAGCTGGTCCACAAATATCTGCATGTACTAGTTCAAGAGGGGATTGAGATCTCCATGTTGTTTTTGGAAATGGAAGACGGTGCATTTTTCCGTAATTGCAACCTTCACAAAATTGATTATCCATCTTGATTTTAGGAAGCCCGACAACCATATTCTTATATTTTAAGAGTTGCATACTGTTGTACCCCAAAATTTGCCCTCCCATATTCTTCAAGAAATTGCCAAATCAAGCTTCAAAATCTCCCCAAGGGTTGCACAGTCAAAGATCTCCTATACAGTCAAAATTAGGGTTTTGATTCTGATCAAGAAAATGAAGTTTCTAAAGGTCCAATCAAGTCTCATATGCCTACAAATATGGTCAAGCATCCTCATATCAAGTTTCAAGACATTCAGCTCAAAATTGCACAGTCAGAAACCCTAATTGCACTACAGTCAACTGTAGGGGCAAAATGGTCATTTAGCAGTCAAAAGTTCAAATTTTTGGTCAACATATCATTTTGAAGCCACAAACATCATTTGATCAATGCTTGATCATGATTCTCAAAATTTGGCTCAGAAATCATCAAGATGCAAAAGTTTCCTTATTTGGACAGCTGAAAAAGTCAACTGAAATTGACCAGGGCATAACTTTCACATGGATTATCAGAAAAATTCCATACAAAGCTCATTTTGAAGAGAAAGACATTTCCTACAACTCATCTTCATACTTCAAGTCCAAGAAATGCTCTCACAAAAAGTTATCAATTTCAACATTATAGGTCATTTTCAAAAGTCAACAAAAAGGGACTTTAAGTCAAAGGCCATAACTTGAGATTGGTAAGTCAAAATGACATGGGACCAAAGGCATTGGTTAGAGGACTCAAAGACCTTTCCAAAATGTCCAAGAACATGAGAAAAGCTTAAAAATTGAGCAAGTTATGCCTTGTGGAAGTTGGGAAATTTATGGATATTTTGAAAAGTCAACATTGATTCAAATGACCTAATATTGCTAATGGGCCCATTTTTCTTCCATAATTCATCATCCATGGCATGTGCACGACCACTTGGCCCAAAGGGAAGTTTTTAGTCATTTTTATTTATTTATTTGGATTTTTATTAATAATAATTCATTTAAATTAAAATAAGTACATGAAAAATGCTAACCTAAGTTTTTTCAATCTTTTTGTGCATGTTTTGTCCTCAAGATTTCGTGCATGACTCAATATAGAAAGATTTGGATTGAATTGATCTTAATTGATACAAAATTGCATG